ATAGCAAAAGCCTACTTCATTTATTTGTAAAAGAAACCCAGTTTTTTTTTTAAAAAAACCATCTTGGTTTAAAATCCCAGCAGTAGCTTCCCTACTTAGAAAGGCTTTTCTTATTTAATGTTGAACTAATTGAACTAAACCAGCATTTAACTCTCAATAATGGAGAGCAAGTCTACCAAACCATGAAAAGTATTTTGACAATGGCTACCCAGGGCTTTGAGAAAATCCTCTCGGCCCCAGAACAAATAAAAAGCAATTTTGGGGGGAAATCACCACCCACCCCAATTCTTTTCCATCAGAAATGAACCAGGCCATCTCTGCAACATTTATACTTCAGGACAATACCAACTCCAAAATTAAAGAGGGGATTCAACAGAAAAGTTTTTAAAAAATCTTGAACTTGAGACTTGGCCAATTTGATGTTTTCCTAAATAAATGTTTTTGAAGGTAGACTATTATTTTTCCTTTAACGTGTTACTTGGAAACCTGACAGTAGTAACATTTCCAACCAAATCTCCTGACTGCAAACCATGAAAACGTATGTAAGTTTGCAACTCAATCCAAAACCTCGGAGCATAGTTTTTCATTAGCTTTTAAGTTTGAATTTCTTCCCTCCCCATTTGTTTAAAATTCTTCAAAGCCAGGACATATGCAAAAACTGCAAATTGCCATTAAGTAGAGCTGCAAATTGTAATGGGAAATTTTAACAAAAAACAAAGAGCAACTGAGAGTCAAGTCTTCAAAATTAGCAAGTTTAAGACACATATGTGGACTTCAAACTCCCAGAATTCCTGAGATGTCAAGTTTGAAGACCCCTGGATTAAAGTTTTTTGGAAAAAAGAAATATTTTGGCAAAATGAACTGGAGGAAATAAAAACTGGGCTACAGAATTAAGGACTGTGTGTATCAGTAAATTCTATTAGAAATGTTGAAAGGCCCTTATAGAAGCTGCAAGGCAGCTATTTTTATTAAATGTGGTCCATCTTTTTCTTGAAAATCCACCCAAATCCTTTAGTAAATTTTAAAGCAACCAATTTTTCATCTTTGAGAAGTTTTTTTCCCCCATCTTTGAGAAGTTTTGCAAAAGCTTGTGCCTTTCAGAGAAGCATTAGAAGTCCCAGCTGCAGATGTTTTTGCTGTAACAGCTCCTTCATCTCATTGCAAAGCTTCCAAATTTAATTGAACCATTACTTTTCCTTTGCAATTTAATAGAATTGCTTTCAAATTCTGCTTTAATGGTTCTGCAATTCCCGCCCCCCCATTTTCAGCATTAACTGAAAAACAGGATTACTTAAAAAATACTAAATTTTTCTGCTCAAAAAACAAACCAAAATTCTACAGAAAACCCAGGTAGAAAAAACCCAGTAAACCAGCTTTGAACTAAATTTGTTTTATGGAGCTTAAGATAGAAGATAATGTGTACAGAAAAGGCTTAGTTGAATTTTAAGGTGAAAAACCCAATAAGCGTAGATTTGGTTGAATGTTTAAAATAAAAGGCATAGAAAGAAACCCAGGCAAAGGTTTAGAAAAAACCAAATTCGGGTTTGCAAAAATTCCCAGCAATGGCAGCTTTTGTTTTATAAATAGTGAAAAATGGAAGAAAGAAAAACCTAAGGAAAATTCCCAGTAAGTGAGACTGAATGTAGGAAAACGCTGTATAAAAATGTTTTCTTGATAAATAAGATATTGAGGCTTCCTCAATGAAAACCTAATTTCAGAACGAAGCGAAAATAACTAAAAGAACTGCGAAACAGGCCTCTAACGCGACAGGAAAATAAAACGCGATTTGTCCGACCTAACCACCACCCACAGCCTCCTTCCCCAGAAATGAGCCAAGACAGCTCGCCAAGCAAGGGAATATATACTTCAGGACTATACCAACGTCAAAATGAAAGGGGGGGATTCGAAAGAGAAAACTTTCTTAAATATCTTGAAGGGACATTTCCAGCCAAATCTCCTAACCGCTGTAAAGAAAACGTATTGATAATATATTGTGAGTCGTTCCAATCTTGTGGCATATTTTATTTCATGAGCTGAAGTTGCAAACTGTTCTTCTCCCCCCCCCCGCACGATCTCAATTTCTATTTGGAACATTCCAGCCCGGGCTATATTCTCAAACCTTGTAATTACAGGGGAAGAAGTAGTTGCAAATTCTTAAGGGGACTTTTAAATTGTACGCAGAAAAAAAAAAAGGAAAGATAACCCGAATTTTGCCCTGATTTTCTGGAAAAGCTTCTCAAGTCAAAAGGATTGTCTGCTGAATTTTGCTGAGAGGGCAGTTGCTCTGCAGAAATGCATTCTCTCTCTCCCTTTGGAGGAAAAACTGCAATTTGCAATGCAAAATCTGAAAAGATGTTCCCTGCTGACAGAATTATCTTGCCTTAACCTCGACGACTATATATTTTTCACTGTACGCAAATTGTATTTTAGGCAAATTGTATTCTCTATGTGCACAGTGCATCCTCCGACATAACAAACACACTATCATCAAATAATATTTCTGCTATAAAGTATGCCTACCCAAGGCATTGATAATACTGCCTGTTCATTTGGTCAAAGGCAGATAAATCAACGAAGTTCTTGCATTTTGTCAATGTAGGTTAGAAAAGTCAAAATGGCAGCTATTACATTGCAAGTGAAATGTTGACTGTTTTTAAATGTATATTATTAAAAGACACATTTGACACCTCTGAATTAAGGATGGAGGAACACTACCACTTTGTTCCAGAAGATTTTTCTTTTAAATTCAGGTTAAATTAAAAATAATAATAATAATTCAGGTTTTGACATAAAATGTTGTTCTTGTCTTCTTTCCACTTTGCTCAGTTTTGGTGAATAAAGGTGGCTCATAATGGTGGAAAAGATAAAAACGCATCAATTCAAAAGAAAACCAACGTACCCCAGAACCACACAATATTAAAATCTTAATTTTTATAAAATGATGCATTCTTGGTATTTGACCCTGGAAAAATTGCCTGAAGTGCATGAAGGTACTTCTTCATAGTTATGCTGAAAATGTGAACAAGAGGGGACTCTTTAATCACTCTCAGTAGATATGTAAAAAAGCTTTAAAAAATGGATTCAAACACATACATTAATTTACAAGACTTTAAAGATTCACACACAACTGTAGCCAGAGATGTTTTGGGGACCGATTGACAAAAAGAGAAAAAATAATAATGGAACTTTGTTTTTATATATGATGATATTGTCCCCCAAACTCTGGGCTCTTGCTTGGTATCAAAGTCGATAAGCCACTGGGCACAAGGTGTGGTACAAAATTATTATGCTTTTATTTTAGTAGCAAGATATAAGGACCCTGTCTCAAAAGCTAACCAAGGACCTCGATGAGAATCTTACAGCAATTTTTATAGTGAAAGGATGGTCGCATAATTCATGCATAACAGATAACATTGATTATTTGGATCTCAGCCCCCTACATAGCTAAATGTTGCATCACCTGTGTTTCACACCAGGTCACGGGTATCTTGCAAAGTGCCCTAGTTTCATGTGCCTGCTATGTGGCTTTTGGGGTTTTCTTATAAGCAAGATATTCTTGTTCCTAATATCCTGGCTAGTGGTTTAAGGTGTTAACTTCTGCCTCGCTAAGAATGTGCAGTTCCAACCCCTTTCCTATTGTAGAGCAACTCAAGGTAGCACACCCCCACTCCCCACGACCCCCCTCCTTCCGCAGAGAAAAGTAAAAGCAGTTTTAAATTTTTGTCTGAGGGAGCAGCCCCCAATCCCTACGGACCTCGCCCCCCCCCGTTCTGTAGAGAGAGAGAAGACAGGAAGGAGCAAGAGAAAATGTTTTTATCAGAATTCATATTCCTCACTCTTATGTCCATTCCATCCGTACCCGGGTCCTATCTCCACATACGATCCTTCCTCTGATTCTCAGGGTCTCCTCTGAACATACATTCCAGCATCTGATCCTTCAATAACAACAACAAGACTTCTATATGCAGAAAGGTGGAATGGTTTGATCGACAGAAAAATCGATGACGAAGATTATGGAGCCTGCTGACAAGTCATAACAACAACCCTGTGAGGTGGGTTGGGCTAAGAGTAAATGGCCCGAGTTCACTCAGCCGGCTTTCGTGCCTAAGTCAGCACTAGAACTCCCAATCTCCTGGTGATAGCCCAAAGTCACCCAGCTAGCTTTCATGCCTAAGCCAGGACTACAACTCACTGTCTCCTGGTGATTGGTTTCAAGTCACCCAGTTGACTTTCATACCTAAGGTGGGACTAGAATTCACCATCTTGTGTTGATTGGTCCGAAGTCGCCTAGCCGACTTTCAATGCCTAAGGTGGGACTAGAATTCACAGTCTCCCAGTTTGTAGCCTGGACCTTCACCACTAGACTAAACTGTGGAAAATATGTGCAAGAATGGCTCGCGCTGTGTTCATGTTCTTTATGAATGATAACATTTGGGTTTGTTGTAACACCATTTTGGGGGCCTACGAATCTAGGTTTCTTGGATCTTGGTCTCACTTATTGATTTATTCACTAGATGTTTATCCCACCTTTATTAATTTATAAGTAACTCAAGGCAGCGCACATACAAGAATAGATATGGCCGGGCTTGGAGGGATAGAACTGTAAACATCAGGATGAAGTGAAATGAATTGAAAAGATAAAGACAAGGATATCTCTATTTGCATATTTCGGTCCTCACTGCTGGTGTGACAGTTTTCCTTGGCACAGAATTTGGAAATCGTTATCATTGGCAAAACACATAAACTGACTGACATGCAGCTTCGGCTCTAATGCCTCATGGTTTTAGAAAGAGCTGGTGCAATAGAGGGTAAAATTGTGGGTCAGGTTTTTCAACCGGATCGGTGAACAGTTTCCTCCCACCATAGCTCGGCTGAAAGAACCCTTGTTTGAAAATGAAACTTCTTATTTGAATCGGATGTGTGTGTATGTTTCTCTCTCTTCGATTTCTGCTCCTTGCAGGGTGAAGAAGGCGTTAAGAGTTGGGAAGATACGATCAAACATCTTCACAGAACCAGATAAAACTCCTTTCCAAATTGCTCGGAGGCTCAACTCAAGAAGACATGGCTTCTTGTGGCTGATACTGTGAATGAGTGGCTTGTGATATACCTAGAATTTCTCCTTCTTCTCACGTGCAGCATTTACTGTTAGGAATAACATAGGTTACCTAACGTAGTTTGGGTAAAATAATATATATAAACTATGATTGTAAGTTTAAGTGTGTGTCACTTTAAAACTGCAAAGCATGTAATTTTGGGTGTGGTGTGAAACCACCATAAGAGGGAGCAAGAGAACCTGACGATTCCCTGACAATTACTGGATTGCATGGATTGATGGTTTGTTAACTGCGTGTTTCCCCTACTGCTGAGATGCTGAAGGAAGAGAAGAGTTTTTTGAGTTCTTCATATCTCTACTGCAAGGAGATATATTACTGGACTGATATTTGTAAGTTTACTGACCTCTCTTTTTCGACACTGGAATTTGCAACTGAATAATCCCTGGATGGACTGAACTAGTGAATGATATATGGACTGTTTGACTATGCTATAACTCTTACTGGAATAAACTATTTAATTAGCGCTGTGTATCTGTTTTACTGAGTGTAAGCTACAAAAACGTTTATCTCACATATTTTGCCTGCCTGCCTGACTGCCGTGCAGATTCTGCTAGGGTGTATCCCTAACATTTACCAATATACTGGAGAGGCTGGAAAAGGTAAGTTAAGTTGTGTTGTGATGTAATTCTCATCTGAAAATATATAACAGTATGTGTGTACGTAACAGATAACAGATAATCAGTTGGAAGGGACTATGTAGGTCATCTAGTGCAACCCCCCGCCCTCCCCTTCACCTGCTTGGTTTTTGCAGCCAGTGTATTTTTCACTGGCGGAAAAGAGCTGGTGTGTGAGATGCGGGCATTATCCCTAAGTTATGTCAGGTGCAGTGGCGTGCAGATCTAGCCCTCAGTCTTGTGGATGTGTAGTGTGATCCTGGGCTTGTTTATTTCTACAAACCTGGGCAGGATGGGAAGCTGGTGTTAGCAATTAGCGAGCTGACCACGTAAAATGGCTTTCTGTGTCACCGACGGAAAGTAAAGTTAATTAACTGCCGGAGGAATGTGTAAGTTGCAGCCGCGCATTAGGGAGGTGCAATGTGTTTGGAACCTGCAACGTCTCAGATTTGAAATGCTTGAAATTAAAAATGTGCGCACCTTTATCCTGCACTATAAAGCTGGCTTCCTTATAATGCAGTTAAGGAGAGCTGATACTAAAACAGATAAAAGCAGATTCTTCCTGGCCAGGAATGTCTAAAACAGGCTCAAATGGTTATGCTTGTCTTTTTGACGTTACACATCAAGGTACTTACTATACCTGGCATGGATTTTGTTTTTCAGTGAATTATATCTGTAGTGATCTCAGCTTTTTCAGTACCTGTAGTATTTCTGGTGTAACTGAAAAAAATGAGTTGGCGGTATATGTTTTTTGGGGGTAAATGTGTACACACAAAGGGAATGTTGATTGGAGTACATTTCTTTACCATTTAGCTGGGAAGTTACCTCAAATTGAAATCAGAATAATGCTGAGAAAAGGCACTTAAACTGCAAATGGCTCTTATTTCAGCTATTTCATATTTTCCAGTTGGTTTAATTACCACTCTAAACATGCTGCCTGAGGATAAACGTGATCATTAATAAATTAAACCCTGACAATTAGCCAAGGTTAAACACCAAAAGCAGGCCTACGCTTCCCATTGAAATTAAACTGTTTTTCATTTTAAATATTGTATTATTATTGCATGGGGTTTTGCCCTACAAATAAGACCATGAACTGGCCCCGTTTAAAAAGCTTGAGGACCCCTGCTCTAAGCAGACAGTCCCCCGTGGCATTAGGGTATCCTGCCTGCCTACCAGCTGCAGCTCCCACCAGGTAATTGAGGCTACAAAATTGACTTTGGGAAAAATAATGAGAGTCCAAGTCCGTAGGTAAGAGATTCTTGGCTTTGACCTTTTAAAAATCGGTACGTTCACCCGAGGCACGAGGAAGATTTCCAGGGACGGAAAGATAAAAGAAGCGCTCCACAAGAGTAAGAAACTGTGCAAAGAGACAGTGCAGGTCCTAGAAGAACCGATGGAGCCCGAAGCCTTGAAAGCCCCCCAGGGCAGCATCCTGGCCTCGTCCAGGCCTCCCAGAAACGTCAGAAGCGAAATTTCTTCTCTGTATGCATCCAAAGTGAAGGGCCTCCACCCTCCATTTCCTTCTTTTAAAAAATGTTAGAAAACTGCTTTTTGTATGTTTAATAAACGTTAATAAAGATACAGATTCATGAAAGAAAACGTACATCCTACAGGACTCAATTACATGAAGAATTGCACCCTGCAACCTGAGACGATGAATATATGTGATCATTAATAAATTAAACCCTGACAATTAGCCAAGATTAAACACCAATAATACCGCCACTCAGGGGAGGTAAATGCCGAGCGTGTAGCTGCACTAAGACCCTGGCATGGACCCTTGAGGACGACGAGGCCCTCCAGCAGCATGCCGACAGAGGCTGGGAAAAGGGGATGATGAAAACGAAACTCTTCATTCTCCTTGCCCCGTACTTTCCCGGACGTTCGCAGGAAGCGCCTCCAGCTAACTAAATGGAACCCACCCACAGAATATCCAGACGGAGAAGAACAAGAAATAAGACAGGGACACCCAGTTACCCA